CAGTCTCACGGAGCAGTGCTGGGGAGGAACGCTGGCCACAGCTGCAGGGAGAGGCGGCCCAGCATCACAGCCAGGGGCGCCCCCATGGAACACGCTGCGGACACGCTGTGGGCACCCAGCCAGAGGGCAACATCTGCCCTCAGTGCACAGAGCTCAGCAGGAAATACCTTTATGGCATTTGGGTGGGGAAGAACTTCTTAAATAAGACAGGAAGAAGTTACGCACATGAAAGATGAGTGCGAGAGGCAGCCAATCAATGTTTCGCTCTCACCTCTCTCTCTCTCAATATCAATAAAAAGTCATTCTTAAAAATAAAAGAGACAGGTAACTGAAAGTAGATATTTGCCACACCTAACTTACAAAAGAAAAGGCTCAATTTTAAAAATCGGTAAAATATTAAAAACAATAAACAGGCATTTCATAGAAGAGAAAACAAAAAATAGCCCATAAAGACATGAAAAGATGCTCAATCCATCTGTTATCAGAAAAATGTATTTTAAAATCATAATAATATACCATCTTCACATGAAAATCTCAAAATTTAAGTGCTGCCAGGTGTGGGTGAGGTTGGGAGCTCTGAGCACTCCGGCCGCTGCAGGTGGCAGTGTAAGCAGAGGAGTGGAGCACAGTCTGGAATGACTTAACCAGGTGCAGCAGGCACAGCCAAGGCCCAGCAAGTCTGCCTCAGGAGAGCCTCACAGAGTCCTCACCGGACCCCGGAGACAGGTACGAGAATGTCCTCACTGCCATTACTTGCAATAGCAAATGTCTGGAAACAGCCCGCATGCCCATAACAATAAAATACATAATGTCGCATGAAAGTATGCAGCAGTAAAAAGGATTGGATATACCCACCTCATCACACGAGTGGGTCTCAAAATCCTAATAATGAGTGGAAAAAAGCAATCACAAAAGCATACAGAAGAGTTACTCCATGGACTGGAGAAGATAGGGAAGCCAGGGGTCTTTTATGGGGGTTTCTGGCCAGGAGCAGTCTGGCCCTGCCTTGCCCCTCACTACACTTCCTCCTGACAGCCAATCGAAACCCTCCCCACCCTCCTGACAGCCAATAGAAACCCTCCCCATCCTCCTGACAGCCAATAGAAACCCTCCCCATCCTCCTGACAGCCAATAGAAACCCTCCCCATCCCCGCTCACACCAGGCCGCCCTCAGCAATGTGTACTTTGGTATTTCGGTAAATGATCGCCTATAAAGATGCCCTGACTGGTTTGGCTCAGTGGATAGAGCGTCGGCCTGCAGACTGAAAGGTCCCGGGTTCGATTCCGGTCAAGGGCATGTACCTTGGTTGCGGGCACATCCCCAGTGGGGGGTGTGCAGGAGGCAGCTGATCGATGTTTCTCTCTCATCGATGCTTCTGACTCTCTATCCCTCTCCCTTCCTCTCTGTAAAAAATCAATAAAATATATTTTTTAAAAAGCAAGAAAGAAAGAAAAGCAGGGCCTGGCGAGCACACTCAGGTCGGCGGCTGTCCCCTGGAGGCGCCTTCGCATTTGTTAAGTTGGTATGGGTTCATGGAAGTTTACTTTAATTCCATTCTTTTAGCTTAACATGTACATTGTTATCATGGGCAACTTTCAAGTTTTTAAAATAATTTAAAAACTAGTGCAATAGGCAGCGTCCATTCATACAGCGCCTGAGTGTTTGTTTCTGTGGATTCCAGCAGCCGACGGCCCGGCCTGCCAGCTGCCCAGAGGCGGGGGACGCTGCGGAGGGAGGGCTGGAGCCTGGCTTCAGCTTTAGCCAAGTTACTCCACCACCTGTATCTTCATCTATGAGTTTGTAGAAAAAACTGCACGTGGCAGGAACTTGGTGAATATTTGTTGAATGAATGAGTCAATGATTCCTAAAGTCCCATCACAACTCCACCGCTCACCCACATGAATTCACGAGGAAGAGAGTGAGGCCACAGCCCGAGCACGGCCCCCACACGCACTAATGAGTGCTCCAGAATGTGAAGTGGCACGCCGAAGCTCTCTGTTCTGTTCGATCCAAACTTTTGGTATTTTAATGTTACAGATTTTCTCTCCCAAATGTCAGCTTCTCTTTTATTTTTCCTTTCACTGTCACAACAAGCATACAAGTGTTTTCTATGGAATTTTACCAAATGGCACATCTTGCATTTTGTAAACCATATACATAAAGACTCCTCTCTCGCTCTCTGCCAAGTTCTCTCTCAGGGCCCAAGGCTTTTGCTTCCCTGGCCCTTGATTCCTGACTCAAATGTGCAGTCCTCAGGCTCCACCCAGGGCAGGACATTCCTGGGTTTAAAGAAAGACTGAGGGGCAAGTAAGGAAGAATCAGGCCTCGCCCAGCAGATCGGGGCCTTACATCTCCCCATCCTAGGCATGCCAGTCCATTCCGAACCACCACCTCCTTCTTAGCATCAGCTCTGCCTGGCTGGGAAGATGGACTTAGCCACCCCAGATGACAGAAACGGCCTGACTAAGCGCAAGGGCATAACAGTCAGAACGCCTCTCGGACTTGCATTCCTCATCGGTAAATGCAGCAAGAACCTCAGAGTGCCATCATTATACGGCTTAGGTAAGATAATACACGGAAAGACACTTGCACATCAGCACTTCTGTTCGACTTTGGAAGGAATAAAACAGCCTTTACAGGCCATTTGACTTGAATTGGGCTGATCTGCAGCTAGTGCTGCAGTGGGGGGTGCTGGAAGCCCCGAGGAGCTCTGGAGGCCCCGTTTGTCTTGGGCATAACAGCCACATAAAACCTCCAAGGCCCTCAGACAGACCAAGCCAGCCCTGCCAAGGGAGCCCCTCACCCTCCACTCCCGGCTGGATGTGCTGCATCCCAGAGCACGGGGTTTCCCTCCTGGGCTCCCCAACACAAGGGTGTTGGAAAGCGGGTCAGAGGCTGGGCCGTGCGTGCGAGGCATAGCCAAGACAAGCAGGAGTCAGGGTTAAATTTATGGAGAACATCTTGAGGAAAAATCTTGACCTCCAAGGTCATCTAATCAGGGGGCCAATGACCAGGGCAGGCAAAGGCAGGAGGCCCAGCACCGAAGCCAGGGAAAGGGCTCTGGCCTCCGGAAAGTCTGAAGCCAAGGGGTCAGCACCCTGGACAGCGACGTCCCCACCTATGGCAGCTCTGCAGGGTTCCCAGGCCAGCCACCTTGCAGATCAGAATCAGCAAACAGGGCAGATGGCTGCCAGTCCCTCTTCCCCAGCCCAGTCCCCGGGGCAGCGGGGGCATCACAGAGCAACCACAGCGCTTTCTATCACCCCCACATACAGCCTCAGAGTTCTTCCCAGCACAGCATTCGAGGCTCACCCACTGCTGTGGTGCTCGCCAGAGGAGCGCGTGGTCCCCTCCCCTGTGTGGAATCACTGAGAACCGCCAGAGCTGAGTGGGGGGAAGGGGAATAAGAAGAAGAAAAGAGAGTGTGAGCAGGTGCCATGGGGTGTCATTCAGTCTGCGAGAACCAGGGCGTGAAGAGTGTCTATAGGTCAGAGCAGAAGGAGAGCAAAGGTGCCAGGAGAAGTGGGGTGGGAACAGAGGACACAGCACCCTCCAGCCCAGGGCACGTGCACACCTACCCTCACCCAGCCTCAGAGCAGACCCAAAGGCACGAGGTTGAGTCACCAACACAAGGGTTCTCAGAGGAAGGCTGGCCCCCTAGAGGCGCCCTGGGGCTCCTCAGAGGTGGCCTGGTCTCCCACTGCTCCCAGGGCCAGAGATTGAGAGGGTGGGGGGAGAGGCCAGTCCTGGACAGAGTCCAGCTCAAGTGCACGGAGTCTCGGGCCGCCCTGTCCCCTCACCGCCTCACCTTTACGTCAGCACGGTACCCGCGCTCCCCACTCCTCCCGCAGTCTCGGGCTGAGGACGACGCCCAGTCTCAGAGCAGAGAGTGTCAGGCAAATGCAAACACACACTGACTTCTCTTCGCGGTTCCATTCCTGGCAAAGGACTGAGCTCGCCAGGGACAGCGGGACTCTCGAGGGCCCCGCGGGCCCGAGCTCTCAGGCTGCCGGCCTCACCGTCCTCACACCCTTAGACATAGAACGTAGGTGGCCGTGGCTATAGCAAGAGGATCCTCACGAGGAACGGCTCTGCATCCTGACGACGGGGTCACACGAATCTACACGAGGTAAATCGCACAGCGGTGAGCGCACGCCGCCCGCACGTGCACTGGAGGGTGTGAGCAAGGGCACGGGTGTCCCTTCCCGCTTACGAGCTGCACACAGCTCTGCACGCAGCTGCCGCTGGGGACCTGCTGAGGCCACTGGGTCTCTCCATATTATTTCTCAGAATTGTATGTGAATCTCAATCATCTCAAAATAACGGGATTTAAAAAAAACATATAACACGGAAACCATAGTATCGTGGAACGAGGGTTTTGTTTTTACAGAGCAGCCGTAAGAAAACGCGAGCTACTTCTCCAAAACCCATCTTTCTTGTTTTCTAAGAAGCAAATGATGGTTCTTTTCTTATGGCAGATATTCAAAGAGGCCATGTCCGGCCATGCCCAGTGTGCCACTCAGCGTGTCCTTCCCCTGACATTTGCCCAAGACCCTGAGACTAAGGGCGGATGAGAGAGGAGGCAGGAAGGAGCTGGGAAGGGCTGCTGAGGGGCAATCTTTGGAGAGGAGGCTTCCGGGAGGCCCGTGCTGGCGGCCTCCGCCGCCGCCTGCGTGCAGCCCTTCGGGTCCCTGCCAGCAGGTTATTAATATTTTATTGAAGATGATTCGAATTTCAGCTGTCATGGTAAGGTGGTGTTGCTAGGCAACTTTAGTGCCTGTCTATGGATCTGTTTGCACAGCTCTTCCCCCACTCGTGAAGCTCAAGGCTGGGCCCTGCCGCCGAGACCCACTGGGCTCAGACCACCCCCACCTTCCACTCCTCCCAGGCCTGCTCGGAGGCAGGCAGCTGCCTGCCATGCCAAGGCCAGCGCGCAGGCCTCCCGCTCCCAGCTGTGCGCCCAGCGGAGCCCAGAGCGGCCCCTGCCCCGTGGACTCACCGTACTCACTGTCGTAGAACATGACGAACTTCTGCCAGCGCAGCTCGGTCACCAGCCTGAGCATGACGTCGTTGAGGCGCACGGGCGGCCTCGAGGCCAGCGTGTAGGCCTCCCCTTCGGGGCTGGGGTTCAGGTGGCAGGCAGTGCGTGGTGACCCTCCTGGGTTGCGCTGGACAAAGAGGTGTGGGATGTGCATCGCGTCGGTGAGGGACTGCAGGGCGTTGGCGGACGCACAGCCAGTGGACGTGACCAAAGCCAAAATCCCCTGGGTCATGAGGTCACAGGCTGGAAAGAGAGGTGAGAGAGGCAGGGGTCAGCACGGGGTGAGGCTGCACCGGCCGCACCCACCCGGCCCGCACCTGGCAGCTCATGCCTGGGGCCCAAGAAGTGCTGCCTCCTTCCAGGGACCAAGAGCCCGTGCCGGGCCAGGCAAGCAGCTCTCACACACAGTCTCACTGGTGCCCTCTAGACGTTCTTGTGCCCATTCAACAGATAAGAAAACAAAGGTCAGGAGAGGCAAAATTATGTGCCGCAGGCTGCTCGAGCAGAGACGGCAGAACAGGGATGCAGCCCACGTCTGCTCCGGAGGCCCTTGGTGCTGCTCCATGGGCCGTCCTGTCTCCTGCCTGGCTGGAGCCCCTGACAGCCGAAAACTCGTTTTTGTTTTTATCTGTGTTTCCCTCAGGCCAAGCCCAGACCAGAACAATACTGTATGCTCTTCAATAGTTGGCCGGACTGGCTGATTGGGACTAAAGGGAATGAATCACATCAGAAAGTCAGCGAGACACTTACCCCAGAGGACCCAGGTTGTCGGTAAAAAAAGAGACAGAACCCTAAGTCTTCTGGCCAAATCCACTTGGTTCATATCCGAAAGCCTGGGTCAGACCCTGCCCAGCGCTGGCTCCAGGGGCCCCGGGTGACTCAGCCACTCGCCAGGAGCGAAGGGAGAGGCTCCCCGGTGAGGGCGGGCCGCGGGCGGGGCTGGAGGCGGCACTGGCCTTCTGGAGCCACCCGTAAGCACGAGGGACGCCCCTGTCAGCCACACCCCTGGGCATCAGGCCAGCAGCAGAGAGGTACACCTTGCATACGGGCACTCGCTCTGAACAGTTCTGAAGCGACGTTTACCAATAACGCTTTCTGTGACGCAGGAGTGTGGGAAAGAAACAGCCTGTGAGTGTCAGCAGGCCATCTGCGGCCAATGGCCGGCTTTGAATAACTTGACAAAGCGGTTCTTTCGGCTGAGAGCCCGGGGAGAAGGAGCCCGAGAGCAGGGAGCACCCCAGAGCAGGCGTGGGAGGCACACAGCTCCCCACTCAGGACAATCGTTCAAATGCCACAGCTCTCCCGGTGGACCCCTCGGCCTCCAAGCGCGAGGCGGGGCGGGGCGGCTGAACAAGAGACCCCTGAAGTCTCTCGGGGAGTCATACAGCCATCCCAGTGCCTGCCCCTCTCACCCAGCTTTCTCTCCCGAACAGAAACCCAACCACGGCTGCTCCTGTGTAAAGCCCTTCGGTGGCTCCCACAGAGCTTTGGGCACAGAGTCAAAGCCCTCAGAGCACCTTGCAGGCGCCCCGACGCTGTGCGGCCTGTCACAGGCCCCACTCACTATGCCCCAACCAACTGCCCAAGTCTTGGCCCTGCACCTGCCCTGTTTTCTATTGCCTCTCGCGTGTCAAGACTCAGACTCTTCACCCCCAGGCTGGCTACGGACCCCTTGTCCAGCACGCCCCTCACCCCACAATTCCCCTACCCTTCTCTCCTGCTTGACCTCAAGCTCCGGGGGACAAGGGCCAAGCCGTTCTGCTCACCACCCTCCTGCACACACCGGGCTCGGCACGTGGCAGCGAGTAAAGGCTGCAAAATACGACGAGCCGGGACGGGGTCACGCCCTCTGCCCAGTGATGGCACTCCAGGCCCCTATTTGAACTGCAGAAATGGCTTCAGACCCAACACGTTCGAAGGCCACTTCTCCGTACTCGTGAACTATTGCCAACAATCTAAGAGACAAATCGGTGAGTGAACGAAATGGCTCCATTTGCTGAAAACAAATGCAGCCTTTAAAACTATTCACAGATACTACATTAACATACTGGTAGGAAAGTGCGCGTCATAAAAGTTATGGGGAAATGATACACAATTGTATGGATTTTACAACACCCAGTAAATAACACAGCAGGCATGAAGGACCAAAATGGTAAACGTGGTTGCATGTCAGAAGAGGCCCAGACGTGGTTTTCCTGCTTTTCTGTATGTTGCTAATTTTCCATGCCGTGAACAGAGAATTCCTTTAGCAGAGGAAAGTAAGCCTCCGGTAATGGCTGCATGGGACGCTCTGTAAGAGGAGGGACCGTTCTGTGAGAACGTTCTCTGGGCCAAACATCCTGGCGCGCACTGTATGCCGGGTTCACACCGCTCTCACGGCGCCCGTGTGCAGGAGGCGTCGCTGCATCCACTTTCCGGATATGAAGTCATGAGGCCACACAACTGAGATGGCATGCGATCTAAACGCTCCTGAGACGTGTACGCTCACCAGGATTACAGCGAGGTGAGGTGAAAAGCCACGGGAAAGGCCAGAGAATCCCTGAGAGGCGGGTGCTGCGATGATGGCTTTCTCTTCTCCTCCTGCCCGTGCTCTCTTTAATGGCCGGGCATTGCATCTATAACTTTAAACCAGAAAACTTGCAAAATAAACTGCGCGCCACTGG